AAATAAAATAAAAAATAAAATAAAAAATAAAATAAAAAATAAAATAAAAAATAAAATAAAAAATAAAATAAAAAATAAAATAAAAAATAAAATAATTAATTTAAAATTACTATATAATTTATAATAATATATTTTATTTAATAAATAAATTAGATAGTAAATAATATAATTATATAATTAAGCTCAGCTAAATAAAAAATTTATTAATTATTTATTAATTAATACTAGTAATTTAATATAGAGAATATTTTAATTATATTATATAGAATATATATAAATTAAAAAATATATAATATAAGATTAGATATATATTTTAGAAACTTTAGACTTTTAAATATATAATCTTTCTTTAAAAACTCTGTTATATAATATTTTAATTTAATTATTAGATTATAATTAAAATTAGATTAAAATATAATAATTAAATATAATTATTTTAATTAATAATTAGTAATTTAGTAATTTATCTAGATTTAATATATATTAATTTTAAACTAAAATAATTAATTAAAAATTATAATATTTAATATATTAGTTAAGAATTTTAATTTTTAAATACTATATAATTAGTATTTAAATTCTAGTATTAATAATAATGTTTCTATATTTAAATAATAGTTTTAGTAAAAATTACCAATATTATTTTATTTATTAATAATATTTCAATAATTAATTTGATATATTAAATTACATATTTTTTTATTTTATAAATTTTTTAATATTTTTAGTATATTTCTTACTATTTATTTTAATTTTAATTTTAATACTTAAATTATATTACTGTAGTTTTTATTTTATAAAAAATTATTTTTATTTAATTTTTAAAATAATTAATTATTATTTTAAAAAAAACTTAAATTTTTATTTATTTTATATTTTAAATATTCTAATTGTTTTTATTTGTTATAAATTTTAATATAAAAAATAGATTATTTTTAACTAAATATTATTATTATTATCTATTAAAAAAATTATTTTTTAATATATATATTATTTTTATTTTTTTATTATAACTTAAATTAATTTTTATTTAAATTTTAATATTATATTATTTAAAAAATAGATTAATTTAATAATTTATAAATTATTTTATTTTAAAAAACCTAGTTTTAAACTATTCTAATAAATTAGTTTAAAAATATCTAAACTAAATTATACTTATTTAATACTATTAATTAATATATATTTTTTTTAATTAGTTTATTCAAAATTAAAATTAAAATTTCTTTCTTCCAGCTGAGCTAATAATAAAAGATTTAAATAAAAATTTTATATAGTATAAAAAAATTAATAAATGATTTATATTAAAAAAAAATCTAATTATTGAATTTATTTATACAGATTAAAAATCTTCATGGGTCTGTAGCCGACCAAGTACCAACCCTATCGGCCAGCCAAGCACTGTGCAGGCGACGAGTATATATATATATAAGCAATAAATAGAAGTATTTGTTTCAGTTATATTGATTATCCCTGTTAATAGATAAAACTGCACCAAGATACATATTTTAGATGGGTGACCCAATTTGTAGAGGTGGGAATTGTGGGATTAGTTAACTATCATGCGCAGGATGAGTGTACAAAGGTGTACAAAGAACAAAAACAATAGATAATTTATAAAATCAACAGTTTGCTGACCATAAATAGGGGTAATAATACTATAGTATATGTAAGTATCATCAGCAGCATGTTAGCTCAGGGGAAGAGCGCCGGGCTCATAACCCGGAGGTATGTCAATTTTATCATACTCTGGCAGTTTTCAAAACTTATTAGCTTACAAATTACACCAGGTCCCTGGATCGAAACCAGGACATGCTATTCTGTCTTTCTTTTTTTCTTCCCCCCTGTCTCCTACACAGAAGGTCTCTTTTATATCTATGGTAGATTTTATATGATAATAGACAGGATCTGGATATTACAGCCTCGGTGGTTGGCTTACCGGGCTGTTTTTTTCAGACCAACGAACTTACTCATGCCTGCCTAGGTAAGTACTCCAACTAGGTAGGGTGTTTAAAAAATACCTGTCATACTACTGTATATCTTATCCGTGAGGTCCTTATATAACACGTGACTAACCAGGTACCTGTTAGGTTGGTATCTTCATGAGGGGCTCTTAGTAGCATGGGTATTACCTGTGATAAGTATAATTGGAGGGTTGCAAGGGTATCAGTCTTTAAACATAATCGATAATCTTAATATTCCTGTCCCTGAATCTTTCTCAAAGGTCTGATTACTCGGATGATAAATATAAGTGTCCATTTACATTGTCTCTGCCCGTTGAAAAGCTGCAAAAATAGGTTGAACAAATAGGATGGATGGGAGGCATCTGCTTGTAGATTGATAGACAGTATACTCGCATATATAGAAAAAAGAAAATATTGTCTGAACTGCAGCATGTTAGCTCAGGGGAAGAGCGCCGGGCTCATAACCCGGAGGTGCGTCTCCTCCATCCATGGTGGTCCTCTGGACTTGTTCACTAACAATCACTAGGTCCCTGGATCGAAACCAGGACATGCTATCCTGAAAGCTTTTTTTGCTTTCCCTCCATCTTAAACAAGCTTGCTTTAAAAGCACTCTGTGCTTTGTGTAGGTAGATGAATTGAACTTACTACTCCGTACGCATAGACAGGCAGATGAATAAAATAAGTAAATATAGCAGGTCAAAATTACTTATATAAGGTCTAGTAGACTAATATTAATACATTTAGCTACAGTTGATAAAAAGCAACATATGACCATACTAGGTCTGTCTAGAAAAAGAGGCATGAGTCAAACTACAGAGGGTGTCGGGTGATTAGGGGAGGGATATCGGTCGAACAAGGCCCTATTTTAATAATTGAACCATAATTAGAAATAAAGGTTAGGATGTTCAACATACCAGTAAAACTGTATTTTTTTACAGGGTTTATATGTTTAAGCAGGTTCTCGGAGAGGATAGGCCACTTAGAGACGCAATGATAAATGAGTTCAACGATAGAGAGACTAAACTGATATTGATGAAACAGCATACAAAACAAAGTGGTGAGGTGTTGCTTAAATAGGTGGTTCGGAACAAGAACTTAGCCATGCCGGCCAGATTACCTTTCACCGCCTACAATATAGGACTTCTGTAATAGCTGTTATTATAATTAGTTCATAATTTGTATTAATATAAATATACTCTGTACCTTGAACACAAAAGCACAAAATTTATCAGCTTAATATCTAAGCTATAGTTAATAGTAGTATATATTTTCAATACAGCAATAGAGCCTAGTAATAACGTAAATATATAAAGCTATACTTTCAATTTGTTTGAGTGATTGAATATATGGTCAGGCCCTAGGGGATGGCAGACTGGAATGACTCAAATAATAAACATAGTTCAAGATAAACGACAATAATCAACTTGATTTTGATAATTCAAGTAGAATACAGAGTGGTTGTCAGATGGTTGTCAGATGGTTGGTGGTGGAGGGTAGCAAAGCACGCTTCAACGCGCCCATGTTCCACATAATATTCCTGACTGCTTTTGCCTTTTATCTAGGACTGATTTATATCTGCTGGGCCGCAGGTCCGTAGTCAACCCAACCCCAATTCCTGTTGTGTTGGTTTGGTAAAAGGCTGTAGTGCGGGCGACAAGTAGATTGGCTATTCAAGATAGGTACCTATGCACGGTCGAGTCAATTTAGCTCAATCGAAACCCAGTGGCACCCATGGGATGCGCCATCGAGAACATGAAGGCAAGGGACATAAAGTGGTATACGGAGAGGATTTCCATCACTATCGTCCCCCAGACGCTCGGCTCAAAGGGCCCCAGTTCTCACGAGGATTGATTTGATACCGCACCAAGCGTTTTCTAGCCACTGCCTCCTTGCCCAAGGCCTCGTCAAACACGATCTCCAGAGTTCCAGGATCAGGTCTAGGAGCCGAATTGTTATAAGACCGAGGCTGAGACATAACTGTTTCTTGGGACCCCTGGCGGGCACCGACGCGATACAATGCAGCTTGAACCTTAGAAACCATCTCCATGACATCCTTTGCTTCAGCGGCTGCCATGATATCTGACTTTAGAAGACCTATGGAAAAATCTTCTCCGTCAGATTTTTGAATGTTCTCTCGACTCCTAGCCATGATGACAGCGCCGGGACTCCCGGCCTTAATAGCGCCTTGTCTGATGGGCGACTTCTGCCTTACCCATTCCCTCATAATCTCCCATACGACCTCCCAAGGAGCATCCGTGCGAATTGAATTGGGCCTTGCATGACTGCGGGTGGACCGATAGCCCAGGTGTCGAAGAGCGCCGCGCATGGCATCAATGGAAATCGTTGATGTATGTAGAACTTTTGATAAGGAGCTGAGGCTGAAATAAAAGGGATGCTCATCCCGAAGGGCTGGATCTAGCCGTGGAATGATGGCAGAAAATTCACCAAGTGGGACATCTTCACCAGCGTCGTCGGTGGAATTTTGATGCACAGCCAATCCAGAGAGTTCAAGGGACAAGTCTTCCTCGAGCGCTGTAGTCAACATGCCTTCAATTCTGTCAATGGTCTGGTACACGTTTCGATCTGCCCGAGGGAGCATGTTGAGGATCCTGCGAATGTAATGAGGATTATGAAGGGGACCAGCCCACATAGGGCCTCCTAAATGGGTCTGAAAACCACAATGTTCGCAGCGACGATCCGATACTGGGCCTTGAGCAAAGCCGAAATGATAGAAAGGATCACCCTTTTTGTCCAACCTCTGCCTCGTTTGCGTTATGGGCTGAGTCGACCATGCACCACAGCCAGAATCGCAGTTATAGACCATCATCATGTTTCCAGAAGTAAATTTAACTTCAGCTGGAGAGCGATGAACGCGGACAAATACTCGAGCATAGAAATCAATTGACAAGGAGAGGAGCGGCTCAATCGCGAGGCCATATTTTGCAGCAGACATTGCGAGTCCGTGTAAAATAAGGCGGAGCCCTCCTTCATGACAATGAGGCCCCTTGATCGGAGCACCGCCATACAAGGCGAACGCTTTCTCAGGATACCCATGAGAGGCCCAAACCCCGGCATCGGTACAGGTCACACAAAGGAGACCACCATCCTTAACACCCTGAACCGCGGCGTCCATAAATGGTGCCGCGGTACCGTAAGGGTCCAGGTCGATGACATCGAATTTTCTTGCGTGCGGGTCAGTGTTGGGGGGGTTCCCTTGGCTCAAAAGGCTGTACATGTAAGCCCGAGCATCCCCATTGTTGGGTCTTATATGCCCTTCAAGTTGATTGTATTCAATATTCACTTTCATAGACTGGATAGCTGAAGCCGACAGGTCATTTGCAACAACATAGGAAGTGAATGGGATCTCCGAGGCATATCGCAATGCACGTAGACCAGTGGCAGACAGGGCGTCCAGAATTGTGAAAGACGGTACAATGTCTTGCTGCGCAGATGGAAGCTTGCTCTCTGCTGTGGCCCCCACCCCATGATTCTGATCCTGCTCGTTATTTTGTTTGTCGCTATCTCCTAGTTCCCGTTTACGCTTCTTGGTATTCACTGTAGCCTTTTTTTTTTTTTTTTCAGCCTTCTGTTTCTTCAAGGCTATCGAATGTTCTCCATATGCTTTAATTGCAAGGACGCTAAGGTCCCGATTGAACTGTTGAATTGGATTGTAGAAAACTGATTGGGATTGGTCGTCAGCTTTAAGATCTTTTTTCGTGGCCTTCGAGGCGGCAGTCTGGGCAGGGGGATTCAAAATGTATGCCAATCCTTCCTTCACTGCCCTGTATTCAGTACCGCCGTACTGGATCAGTTGCTCCGACATCTCGACGGTTGGTGATAGGGCAGGATCGAGTCGTCGGGGAAATGGACAATGAGCAATTGCACGATCTCTGCTGAGGCGCGACGGGAAGATTCGAATTTTGGGTCGGGTGGGGAGAACACGGAAGAGGGCATGAGGGCGTGAGCTCATCGGCCTGATCTTCAGTGAGAACTGTTGGGACCGAGGAGAGAATAAGACAATCTTTTGGTACCCTTCGACTCCGTATTTAGCGGAGTCGTCGTTTTTACTTTTTTTTTCCCTTTTCGACCGATGTTTCCTGCCAAAGCACGGACCATACTCCCCTGGGTCCCAGAGCTCGGCTTCCACCGCCTTGCTTTACGGAGGATGTACTAGTAAATGGTAGAGAAGAGGTTAACTAAAGGGATAATGATGTATCCAATTTGTAATTATTCTTGAGGTACCAGCGGTATTATAAACACCATGAATGTTATTATACAGAACATATGCGTTAATTTTCAACCATAGACAGTCAGAGCCAGGCCCCGAGGGCAGGTACCCGGTTGTATACCTCATTCCATACATTGGCTTCCCAGCCAGAGCCCTGCCCAGTCTGCCCGATAATCCCCAGGGCTCCGACAAGCCAAATTGATGCACCTACCGCTGCGATCCCATTGACGGCCCACCACATCTTTCTCTGTCGCTGGACCCGTTGCTCGCTTTCCGAGTATCCCAAATACCCTTCCAGTGAGCCTTTCTTCCGACTACGCTGCTTCCGTATCGTCGTCACTCTCCAGCCCATCCACGAGGACCATCCACCCGCGAAATGCCACACCCCTATGGCGACAAATACCACATAGTATATGTTCCAAAAGACTGGGGCTCGTGCAAATCCATGGGCCACATAACCTAGACTGACGCCGGAGCTTCCCCCGTCGACTATCAGTGGGGTGATGCGATTGACGAGCACATGAACGCCCAGTAATGGGACGAGAGAATATCCTAGTCTGGCCTGCAGGCTCATTCGAGGCCAAAACGTTAGCAAGTTTCTCTGGGACCTCTTCTCAGCGCCGTAGAGTCGCGCCCGTCGCGAGGAGCGAATGTTGCGCAAGGCAATACCCGACGCAACATGGACTAGAACAGGAATTGTCAGGATCACGTGCTCAAGTGGCGGAGACTGGTAGACAGGTCTTGTGAGAAGTAGATAGGTTTCGCTGTCTGATACGGATCGAGTCGCAAGAGGAATAAGTGAGGTGTTGGTCCAATGTAGGAGAAGGAATATGGAGGGAGGGTAGGTCGAGTATCGTTGGAAAGCGGATACTGAGGATCACTGTTAGCCTCGGATAGTTTATCTTGCTATGAGGGTATCCATTGTTATGGATAATAGACTTTGCCGTACACCAAGAATCCCAGCTGTATCCGCGAAGACCTAACTTGAGCCATGAAAATCTTCCTCCTGTAGAACTCCGGCCCACCGATGGGGAGCTCTGCGCTTTGGGGAAAAATTCGCCGGGTTCGAGGTCGGGAAACATCTCATCCACTGGGGAAGGGTCCAGTTCTTGCATGGAGATGATGGAGCGTGTGTCGATGCCACTCTGCTTAGGAAATGTGCTTTCTTTGGACAGTGGCATGGTGATAGCAACGCCAGACCAGGGCCACTACAAGTCCGCTACCGTATTGCATATGCTCTGTACCAGGAGCCTAAGCCAAGGATAAGCACGGAGGAAGGTTTCGGTGATCAGAGCATGGTTGTTGACCGGTGTGAGAATTGGCTCA